ACACGGCCTGTTAAGAGTAATTCAGCGTGTTCGGCTGCTCCGTTCATAGGACTCATCAAGTCGTGGCCAGGCCGAGAAGATGCTGGATTCCATCCTCTCTCATTGATAAATCAATCCACCTCCTTCTCCTTCCGATTTACCGCCAAGTTAAGCAGGTGCGGTTTAGAGCAGGGCAGCAAAACCAGCGACAGCAAGGAGGAGGGGCATGGCAACCCCGGCGATAGAAGCACCGCCAGTGGGGGTGGCGGAGGTGGCGCCAGGGCCAACAACAACGGTAGAGCTCACGACGACGACTGGCTTGCTGGTGGCGGTGCTGTTAGAGCCGGACCAGGGAGTAGTGACAGGCGTGGAAGCCTTGCTGGAGCTGGGGGTGCTAGAAGGCGAAGGAGTAGGGGTGATGCTGGCAGGTGCTGAGGTGGTTGAAGCAGCAGAGGACGAAGAAGAAGACGAAGAAGCCGATGAGGTAGAGGTGGAGGAGCTTGAGGCGCTGCTGCTGGTGACCTTGGGAGTGTGAAGGCTACCGGTGATGCTGTAAGCAGCGGCGCACTGAACGAGATCCATAGAGTCAGGGCAGCACCAGGTCTGGTTGGCAGAGTCGTTGGTGCAGTAGAAGCCCTTCTCGCAAGAGTCTGGACAATGTTAGCTTTACCTATACATGGTGACTCGGCGTATCGATTCAGACACAAACGAGAGTGTTAGTCTGGGGAAAACGTACTGCCAGTGCCATCACCACAGCACTTCTGGGCCTTATCCGGGTTGTAGCAGTGCTTGGTATCGCCGTTGGCAGCGCATTCGGTGTAGCCCTGGCCACAGGCCTCGGCGCAAGTGTTGCCATTTCCACACAGAGTCTGGTCAGGAATATAACCACTAGTGTCACGACGACCAAGGCTCATGCCGAGAACAGGCATCATAGCAGGGCGGTAAGGTTGAGGCTCAGCAGCGGCGCTGGCAGTGCCGGCCAGAACGGCGAACGCGATAGCAGATCGGAAGAGCATTGTGAAGGTTGTTTGGAAGTTGCGCGGATGGTTGAAGAGGTTGCGTATAAAAGGTACAGAGGTACTTTGGTAATTGAAGAGCAGAGACACACTTTTGAAGTCGACAAAAAGATAACGATGCTAGCGAGAGACACGAATAGGTGCTGATCAAGGTGAAAGAGCGTGGTGCTTGTTTGGCCCAAACGAATGAGGGAGCGAAGCGTTGACGCGCGAGAAGCAGAAGGACTGTGCTTTGCGACGAGGAGAAGGGAAAACAGGATGTGCGCCAGGTGGGCAGCCGCGTGGAGGAGGGATGGGTTTAATTTCAGACAGTCGCCGGCAGGTGGTGGCCTGCAGTGTGCCTGCATGCTGGGGTCCAGTCGCACAGTCACGCTCTTCCTTACCGACCTGGCCTGGTCTGGGTGGTCATTTCCCCATTCGAGGGACGGGCCCTGGACTCGGTGGGCGTTCCTGAGTTATGCCGTTTGTGGCTCGTCGCCAATCTTGGCCTCATTACCTGTGTCTCCAGCGAGCCCAGGTGAGACCACTGATTGGCGCCTGCCGCTCCCACCAGCTCCTGCGCACTAAACCAGCTGCTCTTTTTAGAAGTGCGCCTTCATTTTATTCAGGCCCGATACTGGTCAGTGCCCGGGACTACTATACCGACACTTGCTATCTCTAGTACGTGGGAGCCCTCCATCCTATCGCTGGTGTGCCCGGGACTCGAGACACTGGGCGCGTCACCGCTGATACGTAACCCGGCGCCCAGCCAGCAGGTATGAGCCCGACGTGAAGGTGGAGAGTTCCAAGGCAGGACAGGTCGGGCGAAACAGCCGTTGAGAAGGAAGCCTCCCTTGCCCGCACACGTTGGACGGCCCTCTCGTCCTCGTCACTCGTCCTCAACCTCCACCAGTCATTTAGCTTCTAGCGCCAATACCCCTGGTGCGCCTCCTCCACTGTCTTGTTTGAGAATAAGGCCGGAGCCAATCAGCGGATGCGCTGTGGCCCCAGAACATGCAGGTCAGCGAAAAAATGGCGTCCAGGGCCAGCATGAAAGAAGGTCTGTGCACACCGGCTCTTAGCCCAGGAACAGGAATCTCTGGTTGGCCGTTGGCGTCGCACAGGTAGATTGTTCTTCATCAAGCGCATGCGCCGTCGTTGGCCGGACAGTCAAAGGGAGGGACACTGGTCTGGCTTTAATTTAATTGATCTCTTCGCGAACATCTCTAGACACCACATTCTGCCCCGCCCCTCTTGATTGCCCGCTTGGCCCATTATTATTTCCTTCCCGTCTCCAGGCGCCACCATCGCCAACAACTTCACAGTCCTGTCTATTAATACATTTACACTGCTTACGTAGCACTCCTCCAGGAACATCATTCCCTTTTCAGCCTCCCTACCTCATTCATTTCCTTTCACTGCCGCAAAATAAAATAAAAAATCCCTTATAATGCTGACGCTTCCCTTTTGCTGCTAATTATTGGCAGCCTTCGGTAATTACCTACAGCCCTGTGGCCTGCGGGAAGGTTCGCAGATGCAGGCTCCCGTGATACATGGTTGCATCCTCAATCTGCACCATCCTCCACGAAGGGCATCCTCAACACAGCCATTGACCAACCACATACGAAACTACATTTTGCATATGCATTGAACTAAACTGTTGCCGGGATTACCGCCTTACGTATGTCATGCACTATATCGCCCTTGCATGAAGTTTGAGAGGTGTCTGTCACAGTCTTCGACGAATCAGTCAGCCCTGCATAGAATATCCCAATACTTTGATTGCGCGCCAGTAAATTACGAGTGAAACGTACATGTTGCAACCAGCCGCCACTTTGTTCGCTGGAAGCCCAAGTTCAAAGTTAAACGCCCACGGTTCAAAATCAAACTATTACATGCTTTCTCCTGGTCCAGCCCAACAACAATACAAGAATCCATTTGGTGGAAAGTGATATCAAGTAGCCTAGTCGATCAACACTTGTCGCAGCCACTGTTCGAGTTTCGGCCTCCCATTCTCAATCTGCTTGCTTCCCTTCCAGTCTTTAACGCGACCAATCTTTCCATCAGAATTAAACACCGCTTAGGTTTGATCGAACCTTGCCATGTCCCCAGATAAACCATGTCATGTGTACTCGTACAATTTGCCTCTCCTGTTCTTCCTTTCTCGTCTTGTGTTTCCTTTGCCTTTTTTCCACATTGCTGCGGCTCCAAGCCTATAGTTCGTCGCCGCCGAGTTTGGCGATCCACTTGTTCATCCCGCCGTACTTCTCTTCGAAGGTCTTTTGCAGTTTCTGGCCAGCTGCCCACATTGGATCGCCCGTCTTCCAGTAGAGGAAGCAGTTGTCGAAAATCTGGCGCATGTCAACAAGAAATTCGGCCTCGTCCTTGTACTCGTGGCGGTCCATTTTTGCTTTGATGGTACCGAGGTCCATAGGTCTTTTCACCTTCTCAAAGTAGTCCGGCACACCATCTTGTTCAGGTACAACGGGGTCTTTGAAGGGCCCAACGAGGCGAGTCCAAAACCCTATCCATGGCCACGGTTAGCAAGCAAAGATACTCAAGGAGGCTGAAACAGTAAGCGGCGACATAAGAATCGTAACTCACCAGGACCCGAGAGCATCCTCGTCAACAAGTCGGCGCAAAAGTCAAGCTTCTGTGCTGTTGTAAATGAGCTTGCGTCGACCACAGTTCCGCTGGGTCGACGTTTTGGCGCTTGTGACTTAGGAAGAGATGTGCGAGAAGGCTTTCGTTGCAGTGTGCCGGCACCCTTTGCACCATCCACGGGCAACGGTACGGGGCCCGAGCCACTTCCCAAACGACCCTTTTTTGGGTGAGGAATTGATTCCTCGTCGGCTCTGTCGTCCAGATAGTGCACGTTCTTCCGAAGCGCACTGTTGAGAACACTGGGGAAAGATGCCGTAGAAGTTGGGTCGGACGGTACTTGAACAGGCAGCTGTGTATCAAAGGAGCTCATTGTGACAACCAGCTCGCTCAGAACCTCTTGAGGGAGTGACTTGGCGAATTCGGCTCTAGCGTCGGACGATCTCATGTACTCAGCTGCCCATGATAGAAGAAGTGTTCGAATTGAAGAGCCTTCCGGGGTATCCTTCCACACCTGGATGAGCAGCGGCGTCGATGGTATCCGTCCGGTGATTCGTCTACATTCGATCATAGCGTCGAGAGTCTTCTCGCAAAGACCATCAACCTGAAGCTTGTGGGCAAGTTTCCACAGCCCGACCAGGGATTCGTATGAGGGTGTCTTGGAAACATCGGCAATCACTTGGCCAGTGTACAGGTAATGCTGTATTAAGCCAAAAATCTCACTCGTTGCCTCTGGGAGTTTCACGATATGTTCGACGGTATCTTGGCTCTGCTTCTCGAAATAGTCCCGGAAGAAGACTGATCGAGAGCAGAGGAACTCTTTCTGTATCCCGAATGGTAACTCATCGGACCCGACGAGAATTATCACGAAAATAGGGTGCGGTTGACTAAATCATATGGTCAGGTTCCCTTTGTCTGTAAAGTAGGAATGTACCGCTTACAGCCACGAGAAGGGCGGCGGCGCATTTACGTGGCCATTTTGGCTTGGCGGCTCGACATGCCCTGGCTTCTCATTTCCCTGGTCCGACATTGTAGTTTCTAATATAATCTCTCAGCGTTCTGTGTTGAGACCTAATACAACGACGAATGGGCTGGGGCGTGTCAAGGCTGGGGAACAGGGATTTGCCAATCACGCTCGGTTGGATTTGAATTCACAGTGCAAGGTTTTCTCTGAAAGAATTCATCTTCCGAAACAGAGCGTTTGGGGCATGGGTCTCAGTGGGTAACGTTTGGTGCAGAAAATGAATGCCAGGAAGGTATAGGCCTTACCTACCTTATCTCATCCAGAAAACAACAGTGCCGAGGGAGGTTGGGTTTGGATGCCCCCAATTGAAGGGTTCAACACAACCTGAACCACTCACAATCCCAGTCCGGTAATCGATGAGAGTATCCGCTTTAAACGCCTAAAGTAATGAGGTGGATTGGTTACAGGGACGGCACAGCGACTTGATTTTGCGACGACGTGATCTCAATGTTGAATGAAGTTTTGCCAGCCATGGCGTGTTGGGAGATTTGTGCCTCGTCCTGATTCGCTCTTGCTGCTTACGTGATTTAATTAGCATTCCTCTACTTGCAACATCGTGCGCCTACCCTACACATCAAGCTTAGACAACCTAGCCAAACCTTCGACTTCCGAACACCATGCACCCTTATGGTCATGGAACTTCAGCCAAGTCACAGAGTGCGTCATCTCGGCAATTCCAATTCGTACTGTCTCCATTGTGAATGTAACCCCATCGCATGATCTAGATCTACGTTGATTTGATCTACAGATTCAGTGATGAAACCTCACGGGAAGCCGGTGAAGAAAGATGGCACGCCTCGCTATCCTACCCTGAAGACGAGGGATCAGTCGTCTACTCGTGTCGACTAAATTCTCTGGAGGATCTAGGATTGACGTTGCTCAACTTGCGGCGATCCGATGGCTGGAAGGATATCGTAGGAAACTGAGCCTCGCCTCGCCCGGTCCGGCCGCTGGTTCTGTTTGGCCCCCAGCGCTGGAACCAGAAGGTGAAACTGGCGTAATTAACAGTTTGTATGGGTGAAATCACAAAGCTGGATAAAAACACATACCAATAACACGATAATTATTGATCTTGTCGTCATGTTATTGCAAAAAAAGTTACCCACCGCACGCAAGCGATCCCTGGGCTGTTACAATGGGTAGCAATAAGCACTATCAAGCGAGACCATCATGCGCTGTCCCTCAGTTCCCCCCCCCATTTCAATGGCAGCTGGGACTGACATCATCTTCCGGGGGAGGCCAATTAAACGACGCACACCCAAATTGACGGCCCGTTCGGTTCGGGGAAGACTAACCGGGAAACACACACGCAAACTTGACAGCTCAGCAGTTCATGCCCGCCGGCATTGCATTTTGGTATAGTACATATTCATGCAGCAACTTGAAACAAAAAGCTCGGAGGATGGAGTTTCGAGCTCATCCTGAACACTCTGCCTCGCTGCAAGGCGCCCGGTCGGATACGGCACACGTCTCTGGCTAGGGCACCCCACGTGCGATTGAATGAGGCTGTTGGAGAGCAACGACAGGGTACGTACCGTGAATAACCACCCCATTTATGTAAGGCAAACGCAGGTGGTGGGGGCTTCGAATATTTTTTTTTCGTTTCTTTTTCTCCTTATCAATCAGTACTTCGGTAAATCATGTGTAAGGAAAACAGGTAGCAAAAACCGCGCACACCAAACGAGTGGTTGAGAGCAGCCAGAGGTCGGGGGGATACCCAGTCCTCAGGCCGGACGGTGTGTGCCTGTTCCTGTCAAGCTCTGGTCTCCCGTCCTCGCTACAACCCTGATCCAGGCGACAAGGAGGAGGGGTTTCCTCACCACCGGGACCATGCGCAGTGGCTGATCACTGCGTCCAGATGATCTACACCCATCTGCACGCCGTCCCTGAATGCTGGTGCTGCATGAATCTGACCCTACAGAGAGAGCTTAAACATGAGGGGAGAGGGAGTGAGAAGAAGCCCGACCGCCTTTCCGTCGACCTGCAGGCTATCTGGGGCCCAAGTACCCACGGAATGCATCGTATGTACGCAGCTATGGAAAAATCAGATCAGTCGTCATCAACGCTAGAGGCATGAGCAACTTTCCAGGCTGCGGTCGGCTCCAGTCTTGGCGAGCTAGGGGGGTAAACTGATGCTTGAAAAGAAGAAATGTTGTGCCGACTGTATCCTGTAGCAATCTGCCCATTCCATTTATTACCTAACTGGTTCTGTATTGTGGGCGGGCGTGGAGCACGAAAAGAATCCTGGTCTCTCACGATCAATGCTATCTCTCTGTATATTCACTCAGCGTCCAGCCTGAGATGTCAGATGGTTTCTACAAAAAATTACCTAATTTCAGAAGCCCCAGGCCAAGGATTCTAAGCGTTCACTGTATAGGTTCTCATGACCAAAGAATCCCAGTGCTGTGGAAATTTCCATCTATTAGTTGACCCGTTTAGCTGGCCATGGGTTGTAGGTGACGATAAATGCCGCGCAGTTTAGGTGAGAGGAGGAGAGAGAAAAAATAGCACGGTGTGGCTCTAGGGGGAAATTCTCGCCGAAGGTTTCCTATGTACCTCGTCCCCACAGGTACATTATCCCGAAGGGGGTGGGATTATGGCCATCCCCCGGCACACTAATTATCCGGTGTTGCTCGCCCAGTTCAACAGCCAGCTGTTGGCGGCATTGGCGGAGGACACTTGGGATCACAATGTGCTCTGTGCTAGTTTGGAGCTTCCTCTAAGGCGCTCTGGGGTAGGGCAAGCTGGCTTGGCTGTGACAATCCGCAATGCGGTCCAGAGTTTCGTCGACTCGAGCTTGCCCCATACACAACTGGGGGCATTGAGAAGCTGTGGAGACAGATAAGCGCTCTGGATGCTTCAAATCAGTGCAGAAAATGGGAGCTTGAAAGCTCCCCCAGACTAGGCCAACCTTGGTCGAGCCTAGAACACTTATCATGCTGTTCATGCTAGCTAATGCTCTTATCAGTCAGTCACGGTGGAACGGAGCAAAGCCGGCGTGAAAATGCATCTGTCCAATTCAAGCTTCTGTTGGTCAAGTTGCGCCCAACTCATCGCCCGCATGTGAGCTTTGTGGAGAGCCGGCGCTCAGTGGGGTTGATTTGCCAGTCAACCGGTCTGGACCTTTATCTCCTTCGACTTCATCCTCGTCCCAGTCTGAACCATCGTCACTTCGGCCAACTGCCTGGCCAAGGAGAATATCCTCGCTTCCTTGCCATTGTGACGGGGGAGCTGGTAGGTGAGCCTCGTCCTCATTCGCCCATCCATAATCCTCGTCGTCTTCGCTATCAGGAACCTCAAAGTCTGTGTTGCCTCGTTTCCTCTTATGTTGCGTCATGGGTGCAATACCCGAAGATCGACGGCCTCCGCCATCGTAGCACGCGCTAGCCACGCCGTACTAAGTCTGGGGATTAATACTCGACACTCATTTGTTGGGGTTCGGGTCAGCGGGAGCTTCCTACTTACTCCGCTCACACTGAAAGCTGAGACGTGCTCCATCATGTCTTCAGAAACTTTACCATCAAGCTTCTGCAGGCCGGCTAAGAAAATGCTGCTAGGCGTGTTATCCCGCCAGCTCCAGTCTCTGAATAGCGCGATACGCGTCGAAATATTCTGTTCCCAAACACTCGCAGCGACAGCCGGGATCAAGCTGGCTCCTCTTTCAAGTCGCATCTTAGTGGCGCATTGCGAGAGAAGGACAACTGCACACTTTCTAGTTGACGCCAACGTCTGTAAGGCTTTCATGATGGCTTGGAGAGCTTGCTGCCTTTTGGCAAAGGCGCTAGGACCTAGAGGACCGATGTCAGCATGGCGAGAACGTTGTCGATCGATTTGCGGGATGGCGGCACCTTTGTTGTGTAGCATTCCTCGTTGCGCATCTTTAGGTTTCGGAAGCACGGAATTGATCAATGTTGTGAGCGAACTAACAATGACGAGGGACGTGTCTTCCGGTATCAGCCTTGGCGAAGGTTTTGAGACGAGTGCGATGAAATGCGGTAAGGTTAGACAGTTGTAATGAGTGACGCCTCCTAACGCTTTCTCACTTTCTTGGGAGTCTTTGTGGGGAAGTTCCGACACCTGTGATTTTTTCGCAACATCAACCACCTTGGCCATCCGATCAAGAGAGACCGACTGGAAACAGTCTAAAATTTGGCGTCAGTTTGGAGAACCTCCGAAACGAGGATTTTGAAGTAGGATACAGACCTACCCACACGACGGTATCGCCATTTGCTAGTGCGTTCGCCGTTAACTGTATGCTTTTTGATATTGTTAGCCACGCAGATATCGCACAGGTGTCGTCTGGTGATCCCGTCTCACCCTATCGCTGTCTTTCCAGAGCCTGGGGGACCCCATAGCTCAGTGACTTGGCCCCGTCTGATTCCGCCGGTGACATCCAAGTCCTGTGACTCTGAAGACGTCGCGCTCTGCAATTTCTTGTCCAGGTCTGGCAGCCCAGTTGAAACATACGTGGACGAGTCATCTTTCAACTCGTCCAGTATGGCAGAAGCGCTCACCGTTGGCAGTCGGTCTTCCGTGTCTTCCGTTAGTTACCTCGGATCGTGAATGATGCGCATGTCGAACTCACGTGAACTGGGCACATCGAAATTGGCGACGTCATGACCATGAATGGAATGGTAATCCATTTCCTATCGCATTCAACCCATCCATCCGAACCTGCTCTGGAGAATGAGCTTTGAAGTAGTGAAAGTCGAGTTGGTATCCCCCTTTCCTCTCTGTTCTAACAACGTCTGGTATGGTAATCACGATAGCTCAAGGGGATGATCACGTTCATTTGGCAGGCTACGACGCGTCGTCACGTGATCAACCACACGGGTAGGTATCTTATCTTCCTCCACTTTCACATGCACATTCAAATCGATATGAATCTTGTGAAGATGCATAGGTGTGCGCAGTAGCTGGCTTTGTTGACATTCATTGTGAAGAACCTGGCGAGTCCAAATCATTCTCACGCCTGCCTCTGTAGGCCCATTCTACGCCTACCCTAGGCGCTTGAGCCAAAGCGACCGACATGATCAATTGGCTCCAAACTTACCATCATACAGATCATCAGAGCTAATAGCACCCGCCTCTGTCCGTAGGTACCATGGCACTCTAAGATGGCTCAAGGCCACGCTAGCCGGCATCCCATGCCCTGGGTCATGTGTAAGGGCAAAATGATGCACTCACGTTCAAGGTAGCACATCATCTGCTATATTTCGGAGTGTCCTTCTGCATGGCAAGCACCTGAGGAGGGTCTCGGGAAAGTTCGGAACTGTTGCGTTGTGAGATCGCGATGCCCTCTAGCCAGCCCCAGTGAGACTCCCAAGACCCTCCTCCGCTTGATTCCTCCTCTCTCGTATGCTGCGGCGCAGCTCAATCATGGCTTCTGGCCCTGGGGAAATGCAACACCATAGGCTCGGTTAAGAGGCCAGATAAGGCTTCCCCCATCCTTCCATCCATTTCTCCAGAGATAAGACCACATGCCAAGGCTCGGATTGAAGTCGGGAAGCCTTGGGGAAAGGGGGGTGTGAGATCAAGGTGTTGGGCCATGAGTTGATTACCCCAAACAGGTAAAGGGGAGGGGAGCAAAACTAGAGATTAGCATGCTAGGATCTAGCCGTCGATTGTGCCACAGCTAGCCGGTCGACAGCCGGTCCAGCCTGACCGGACTGCTTGGCGCACTGTCGCCAGACCTGACCTCGGGGAATGATCGGCCGAGCAATTTGGCGCTATAGTGGCGCAAACTGAGGAAAACATTTCCGAGTTCTATGAGTTCGCCTCGAAGCCAAATCCGGGGTAGTTGCGCCGATAAGTTGGAATACATGACTCGAGCAGTTCAGTTCATACTAACACTCAATTGGTATCAATGTCTGAAGTCGGACTGTGAGCCTGGTGAAGTGTGGGGAAGTCTAGACCTGTGATGACATTCATGATGTCCAAGTGGCCATCACTGCTTGATGCGTGATAACTCCATACGGTAATTCAAAGATAGTCTACTTTCCCCGCGGGGATAGAGAGTTAGTACCCAGAAAGGAACAGACCAACTTGGTCGAAAAACGCCTCGAGACCAATGACAGCTTCGGGGCTTGTTCCGATATCTGGGTGAAGTCTAAGCCGGAGCAGTGAACTACTTCGAAAAAGGCATTTTGACCCACCGGTTTCGACCAAGGAAGGCCGGAACGGCACTATCACCGTTGGTATTTGCTATCCTCTGGATAAGGACCTTCTCTTGGATTCTATTCGATACCTCACCTGACCAATTCCACCAAGTTCCGTCGATCGATGGTAATGATTCGTATGGAGGCCTGGACCTATTCAGAACCACATAATACCCCACGCTGGACTTGTTTACCTGAGAGAGGCATTGGAAAAGGGGTCAGGGTCTGGGGTTCATAGCGTACCCGTACTTAGACTGCGTGGAGGAGGAGAACCTTGGTCTCTCTCAGACCACTCCGCAGTAATCATTGCTCCCGGAGCTTCCATTGCCAATGCTTGTCTTGCATGAGCATAATTGTCAGGCTTCAGAACGGTTATGCGCGGAAGATGAGATGACGCACCGAGGGATGGTCGGCGTCATCCAGGACGAAACATGGCATCCTGCAATCATCATGGCAATAATCGTCTTCAGCACGAGCCTTACAGAGCCCCGAGTTGCGCGAGTGGACAAGGCTGCTTGTTCTAGTGGGGCAAAAAGGAAGCCAAAGAGAAGGCGAGAAGGCGAGCTCTCTCCAGACTTTTTCCCACGTGGGGGTGTCAACAGAGGCACACCAACTCTGAATGTGGTAGCTTTATCCCTCCGCCTAATGAGGCTCAGCTCAGGAAGGAGGTGTAGATAAGGAGGGGGCGACATTGGTACGGCTCTCTGCCAAGGCAATAATAGGCCATCGGTGCGAAAACGGTGCCTCCCTCTGACCATTTCGCATCAGCACCCTGGCCAAACACGGTGGCTCGTTCGGCGTCACCGACTCGGCCAGAATAATCACCGTAAGAAGTGGGGTGGATTCTGCTGGTCTGTCACGGTAGAAGTATGGGGAAAATTATGATGAAGTGAGGCGCATGGTGAGGCGAGTGGACACCGAGGACTGTCACTGGCGACTAGCCTAGTGGATTGCGCAATTACGGCACCCCGAGACGAGGCCATGACGAGTTTTCCCGGCGCTTGTACGCGCTGGCTTATGTGTTGTTGTGCGTGCTGGAGCTGATGCATCTTCAGCGCACTACCTGCCTGTACGTACAGCAGTGCCTGCCTCCGCCTCCCGAGAGCTACCCTCTTTTCCCCAGACCAGATCATCGCTACTGCAGGTCCCCAATGCATTCAGGGTCCAGAATATCATCTACCCAAACTGTTATCTACCGCTACTACATGTAATCGGGACTCCGTACCACCTCGCAAATGAGGAAAAAGGGGTGCATGTGAAGGAATCGGACAACATAAGCCACTGTGCCATTGTGTCAGATTATGGGATGGATGTGATGCAACGAACAGCTTCAGCCACCCAATACTATGCTCTCTGTACCTGGAACTTTGTCCAGCTCACACCTCCTAATGGGAGGGGCCTCACCGAACGGGCTGCATCAAAATTGATGCATAGCATAGCACTATTTGTGCCATGTAGGAGTGTAACCAGCCTGAGGCGGCGTTCCTGGCCCGTGATCCGTTCGCTTCCTTGACCAGACAGAGCAAGCACCATGCTCATGCACAAAGGACCCAATGCTTTGGGGCAGGAGCTGTTATCTCTGGGGTCATGGGGTGACTGGGGTAGAACGAAACTCACTGGAGATACGGGGTAAAATTGAATCATCGCCGCGCGCCCGTAGCTATCTCTTCTGCCTGCCTGGATTTCGTTTTCCATAGTCCGCCGATGCTTCGACTGCTCATACACGATGGTAATTACTCCACAGGTAACGCAGCTCTTATCTGGCCCCATCTTATTGTGGCGAGGGATCCCGGGAGGAGGGGGGGCGTGTGGAAGGCCCTACCCCAGCATACATAGATCTGAGGTGATTGTCCAGGGATCCAACGCGATTGCCTAGTGCACCAGACCAGATGGTGGGTGTCTGGAGAGGTGATCGCGAGAGAACAATCATCGAGCAATGCTCAATGGGGTGAGCTGACAGCTGGCTATGGCGGAAGCTGACCTGTCGTCATTCGTGTGTATGTCGCTACTTCGACTGTAATCCCCGTTGAGGGTTGTCCCGGCATATCTCACACGAAATACTGGAGGTGGCGCTCCCGGCATCGACATCCATGTGCTCAGTAGATCGACGGCGGAGATAGGCAGCCAGCGTAGTGTGGACTAGGCCACCTTCCATGCCAAGGGAAGATAAGCAGAGTACCTGCTCATCAATCATTTTGTCTGGGGAGAGTGTCCAAAGGGTCTCAAAACCGAGTCAAACCAGCCGCTAGCTCTTCCGCTTGGCCGTCTGGGGCCGATTCCAATCCCGAGCCCCCAGGGAGTAGTTCGGAAATGAAGCCGATGTAATTTATCCTGGGAGGATCAAACAGCTCCTGGCAGATTGGACACGCAGAACGACGAGTCCTTCGCTGCGATCGGAAACCAAGGTAAAAATCGAAACGTCTGCTGACTGGAATACCGCATATTGTCTTACGAGAACGAAGTAATGGCTGACCAGCACGCGTTACATCGAACGGAAAGGGGGTGGAAGAGAGGTGCAAGGTAATGGCCATTTCAGGCAGTGGTGGATGGTCGGATCAGACCAATTAGGGCACCAGGAGCCCCCCACGCCAGCGGATTTCCTTTTTCTCATGATCTGGGGGCTCCAAGCTTTCCAAGTCGGTATTGCATTGGCTCGCATAATAAGTCTGGGACAGGGAGCTCTAACCCGAAAATTCCTGAGACTGATGCGGGCACGGAAAATTGCCTGCCTGCATGCAACACGGGGGAGGAAACGGCAGAGTTGCGATGCTAATATAGACCGCCTGTCTGCCAGCAAGGGAAAAAGCACCCTGGGCGAGGTCAAACCGCCGCCTCCCTACTGTGCATTGACCTCGCAGTTAGACACGGCTCTTGTGAAGGGGGTATGATGATGGGAACTTTTTTTTCCTTCTTCACGCTGTTACCATTGCTTCCTGAACATGGTATGCGCATGCTGTCTCAGACCACCGCATCACGCCTTGACCCCCCTGCCCGGTGGCAACAGAGGGTCAAAGGTCGATAACTGCTCACATTTTCCCATCTGGCGGGCATAAACTGTGTCCCCGCAAGCCTAGACATTTAGCGAGGATGGGGTTGAAGTCTTGGTTCTTTTTTTCTAGCCTTGGAAATGTGCCTGGCTGCCCTGACTCGGCTCGAGTCGGAGAAACGCCGACTTGGCCGAGCAGGCCATCGGCGTTCTTCCCCCATGTACCGTAATGAGCAGCTACTTCTCTAGTCCACTCGAAAGTTGGAACACGGAAAAGAGAAACTCATGAGGTTGCTTAGGAATGGTGCTGCATCCGCATCCTCCGCTGGCACTTCAACGTGAAAAGGGGGGCTGGACTGAGATACGACGCATCTCATAAATTGGGCCGAGCCGCTGCACGGTATCTTCGCGCTGGACCCCAGGTCTGATAATTCCAAGACATTTCTGTGTGTGGCGATGGGAAGGTTAGAGCTTAGCGGTGGTTTACGCGTTCTAGTGTCGG